AGGGGGAGAGGGTCCGCTTAGCTCAGCTTCAGGCTCCACGTTGAAGGCGGGGACATCTGGAAAACGAAGAAGGGGCTGGGAAGAAAAAAGTGACAACATGGCATTTAGACAGGACACAACCCGTAGTTTTTGAAGACAACACCTAAGACAAAATAATATCCGGTACCATGATGTTTAATATTTACTGCCATAGGCGTATATGTAACAATGCAAACATGTTTAAGCTTATCGAGTGTTGAACCAACAGAGAAGAGGGGATCAGGCTGACCTTGGAGTGAGGAAAGCGTCTGCAGAGCGAGGAGTGAGAGGCTCGAACTTGAAGGATGGTAAGCCGGTAGGAGCCTTGAAAATGAAATCCGTCGGAGCAAAAGAAGACAATGAGGGTGGCGCATCGACGGGACCCTCAGCAGGGATGGAGTCGGCTGGAGCTTGGTCCACCACCATGTCTTCCTCTGGCTCCTGCATCTCAGGCACCTATATGACACAGAACACTCATTTATCAACCAGAGTGGTCAAAATGTCAACTTTATGAATGAAGCTTCAAACCATAAAAAAGGTACCAACTTATTTTACAACTGTGTAAAACTCAAATAAAAGCTCACCTTGAACACAGCAGGCTCCACAGTGTTGTCAGTTTCTGTAAATTAAAGGAGGAATACATAAAGTTATATAAAGTTTAGAGGATAAAATAACACTAAGCAACAGTCTGCGTTAGGGCTGCACGATATATCGTGTCGTGACGATAATCGCGTTATGCGCATGAACGATATTGCACATCGCAGGACGTGCGTTTTCCAAAAAATTGTTTAGGACGTGCGATATTAAGTAGGCAAATGAACTCAAACACGTCATGTTACAATTATTTTGCTGCTTGCTACAAAAAGGAAAACTTGCACGGCTCTCATGTCAGGGGTACTTGAGTGAGTGACATGCGGCTCTGCATGCACATCAAACCACCAATCACAATCATTCTTGATCAGATCACAGCTGGCTAACCGAGCTAGCTCAGCTTGTTGCTCTGATAACTTAAGATCCAGACGTCCGTGACTAAAATCCTTCATCCGGTTAAATATCAATTGTATAGCATTAAAGTTCAAGAAAGGGATGGTTTGCGGACAAAAAAAAAACTGTCTTTTCTTCAATTCCTGTATTTATATATATATATATATATATATATAAACAAATAAATATATACACAACTGCATCCCAGAGTGTCAGAGTCACTCGATCAATATATATATATATATATATATATATATATATATATATATATATATATATATATATATCTATATATATATATATATTATATATCTATATATATCGCTATATATATATATATATATCTATATATCTATATATCTATCTATATATATATATATATATCTATATATATATATATATATATACTATCTATATATATATATATATATATCTCTCTATCTATCTATATCTCTTATATATCTCTCTATATCTATATCTATATATATATATATATATCTCTATATATATTATTACTAATATCTCTATATCTATCTCTATATCTATATATATATCTCTCTTCTATATAATTCGCTCTCTCTATATCTTATATATATATATATATCTATATATCGCATGTCAGTCTTTTCCAATACCGTGCAGCCCTAGTCTGCATAATTGGATGGCTCTTTATCAACATGTAAGGATACCTTTACAGTTCTGTTCTTGGTCAGAAGGGGGGGCCACATGGTCGACAAACGCTCTGCTCCTTGTGGTTCTCACATCTAAATGGGAGAAGAACACAAATAGTGGGTTTACCAAACAAAGCATGTATCTCTGTTTGCTTTGATGGTCACATTTCAAGTGCTTAACAGTTTTTATGAATGAAAAATGCCTAAACTGTGGCCATGGCTCAGTGTTTACCTGCAGGCTTGCCCTTAGGTTTGTCTTTCACCACAGGAGCTTTAACCGGAGGCCTGTTGGCTGATCGGGTCGACGCAGCTCGTACGACCGCCTCCACTACAGTAGGAATTACAGAGACACAGAATGAGGTGCAAATAAGGGAACACAATAGGGTGAATGAAACCAATCTGAAAGCTGGTCTCAAGGTCACGTTATGTGCTCTTTTTTTTAATGTATTACCGGCACAAACTTTGATCTTGGTAGCAGCTGGTGCCGGTGCAGGCTTGACAGGAGCGACCCGGGTCCTGGTGGATCTTTCCACAGCAGGTTGAGCTAAAGGAGGCGAGAGAGGTCAGATCTATAAGACGCCAGGTTACAGAAAACAATATGCTTTATATAAAACATTGGGAGACTCCATTTGTTTACCTTTCTTTGTTGCCGTATTCAGATTCTGCATCTTTAGAGGCTGTGGAAAATGTGGTGGAAGAAAAGCACAACAAAGTTTATATCAGCTTTTGGTTTTCTGGAAGTTAATATGTGAGCATATGAGAAAAATATCTTATTACCTTTTGCACTTGCTGCTGCTTCATTGATCGAGTGACTCTGACACTCTGGGATGCAGTTGTGTTCAAAGACTGAAATAAAATAACAAATTAGACAGATTGCAGGAATTATTCATAATTTGTGTTGTTTACATTACATTACATTTCACTTGTTAGACGCTTTTATCCAAAGCGACTTCCATACTCAATACTGTGGGCAATCCCCACAGGAGCAATTTGGGGTGAAGTGTCTTGCCCAGGGACACAACGACATGCTGACTGCAGTGGGGTTTGAACCTGTGCTCCCCTGATCCGAACACCAACACACAACCCACTGCGCCACACGCCTCCTTACAGTGTAAACTAGTGTTTTGATGATCCGCCCCTCACCTCCTTAGATCTAGTTGAGCCAGCTGGGACTTTGGGCAGGGGGTCGATGGAAAGACCGTCCTTTGGATGATACAGGCCCGTCTTAAAAACACCTTTACGCTCCTTTTCTCTCATTTCCTTCTCCTTTTCAAGAGTCTTACGCTCTTTCCAGCGCTGGAGCTGCTTCAACCTCTCTTCTCCAGCTATATCTGTGAGGAAAATAAAGGGTTATGTTGGGAGTGCCTTATTGTGAACAAGTTATTAGACTGAGTCGAAGCTCTGGTGGTAAATAACGCCATACTTTTAGCAGATTTTGCATTGTTCAGTGTCTTCTCCTGAATAACTGACATGGCCATCGCAGTGGAGTCGTCCAGGGAAGCCATCTCCATCTCTGGGACTTGGTCCAGCTGTCTGCGTGTGTTCATGGCCCGCTCTCTGTTCTCCTTCTGGGACTGAGACCTCCTGCGGGACATCTTCACCCTCAGCATCGACACACTGGCGTCCCGCTGGCGCAGGTGAGCAAATCGTGAATCCATGTTCATGTATCTGGAGTAAAGAGGAACAGAATACATGGTGTTATGACAGGTATTCAAGTAAATCATATTGGAAGTGGTAGAGGTTTTGCCAACTTCTACAAAAAGATTAATGTTTAGGGTCTAAATAAAAGTGATGGGATTTAAAACCTAAAAAAGTATTAGCATTAGTTTTTGAACTGTGGTCAGCTACAATTACGCAACTGGTATAATAAGATATGATTTACTTTATTGATCCTAATTTGGGAATTGCTTTCGTCACAGCAGCATGTAAACATGGCATTGCACATAATGTGAAAAATAAAAAACAGATAAAACAGGTAAGTGTTGATAGGAAATAGACACAAAATGCATGGCTTTAACTGACTGTTAATGTCACATCAGATTCATTTCCTGTATTACTTTTTAGTCAACAAAAGTCATGAACAATGACGTCAATTGACCATCAGGATTTAACTGAAACTAGCAGCACCTTCTCAAAAATCATATATCGAACTCGATTGTTTTTAATTATCTTAACGCTAAATACACATCAGTGCTTAACTGTCTCTTCCATACGGTAACAGATAACGGTGAGCAGACCTTAAAACCTACATTTCACTGTAACATTAACTTAAAAAACGTAAAGGCGAAACACAAAGGGGAAAAAAACACGTTGTAACGTTAATGTATGATGAAACACTTTCCATGGACAAATTACACAACAGTAACCTATTCAAAACCAGTGGTCCAAAATCCAACGCAAAGTTAAGTTGATCAAACTTTAACTAATGTTTATCAAACACCGTATGATTAACGTTACAAATCCCGCACCAATTACTGTAACAGTTAACGTAGAATAAGTTCGTTTGTACGATAAAGATGAGCAAAATGTAGCTAATGTTAGCACAGTTAGCTAAGGAATCTACAGACGTTAAGCGTTAGTACAGCTTATCGCCAAGAGGAATGTTCCGTTAGCAACCAACTATAGAACTGTCTTTTAACGAATTATATAATAACACATCCATTTTACCTTGCTCTTCTTAAAACCACGTATACAAATCAAACGTCCTCTTCTAGCCGTGCAGTAAAAATACCTACTGCTCAACGGACAGGTAGTTCAGCCTGAAATACACAACAACCATGGCGGGTGACTTTTGAATTTCATCAAGCTTGACGCTGATTGGCTGAAAATGGGACAACGAGCGCCGATTGGTCCTCTTCTCTGGTTTTGTAGTGATGAGTGTAGGATGTTATATGCCACCTATTGGTGTGGAGTGGAAAGTGTACATTTAACCTTTTTAAAAACAAATTAGTTCTCGGATGGAGACGCTATTATATAAATATCACAACTCAGTAGCCCGTGTTATCAGAGTTTAAATGTGCTCCTTATCTTATTTAATTGATTAAAGATTATGAAAACATCCATAGGATTAGAATAGTATTGTATCTGGGCCTTGACACAGCAATTATTTATGATCCCTAGCATGTTAGAAGGCCCCGAATTCAAATTAATTGAGGCCAATCCTTAAATTATTTATTTTTGCTGTTCACCTATATTTTAGATGAATTAATTATTTAAAAAAAAAAGAAAAAGAAAAAGCACAATTGCTTAGAAAAGGCAAACTCAAGCAAAAAAACAATATACCAACTTTCTTACTGTTTTATAAAGGGCCACACACACACACACAACTACAACAGAGGTAATGTCAAACTTTATTGTCATCTGAAAATGTGTCCAATAAATAAACATAATCTCTGATGTTGCTACTTAATCCTTACCTAAAAAAAAACATTTCTTACACAGAGTAAAATGACTTCTTAATTTATTTAAAGTTAGCGCAGTTACCACAATACTTTTGACATGAAGACATCGTATTTAAAATAATCACTGATGATCAAAGAAACCTGGGCGTAAAGTGTGCACGTCAGTTTTTAAATGAATTTGAGACATTTTCATGATGTGAACAAATTGTTTCTAAAGAAATCCAAATGAACAGTTAACAAAATCCTTTAAGTATGTACAAAGAAAATTAAAGTACAGTAAAAATCTGGATTTACATTTAATTACAAGAGAAAATTACATTTTTTTAAAGGTTAAATAAAATAAAAACTTGGTGAGAAAGCTTTTAATTGTTTTTATTTTACAATGCAATTATTGCATTACGCTGATGCTGTCATGATACCCTGCAACTCTGACAGTGTTAGTGTGGGGGAACAGTGTCCGTCTCATCAGCTCCATCAGTCCAAGAAGAAGATGTTGTTGAACTGCGTCGCACAGAGCCTCTTTACCTCCTCTGTGGTGGAGCAAAGACAAAAAGGACATTAAGGAAGAGATGAAAGAAGTGTGTTTATTGTGTAATGACGCAGGTTTGCTCGTCACCAGGTGGTGGAGACATACCGTTCACTTCGATCAGGTTGGCGTTCTTCTGATTCAGGATCACATACAGCTCTCTCTGGTCTGACTTCTTGCCGACTACCCAGTAGTCTGTCATCGCCTTGACGATGATTTCCTCATCCTCATCAACCCTGAGAGGGGAGCAAAGCACATTTAAAGTGTCATAAGTCATCAAATGTATTATTTATTATGGTTTGTGTCAGAAACGACATACAGGTTCTTTTTTTTAGATACTAAAATCTTGAATTTCATAATAAAATGACCTACAGTTCCATATGTATTACACAAATTGCACTGTATGTATGTTTGTGTGCTGACAAATTAAAAAGACCAGCAGCATCTACACAACATCTGCACTCAAAGAGGAACTGATAGTGATACTGGGATAAATACGGTCAATACCACACAACGTGCCACAGGCTGAAAATGGGACTCACATGACTGCAGGCTCATGACTGCTCAAAAGGGAGTGAGTTAAACATTAGAAGGAGCTTCACACTTATGTACCGTATATTAAAGGACACAGCTGTGGTGATATCCAGGAAAAAAATAAAGTTTTTCCTCAGTTTTTCATTATTTTGTTTCACTGTTTGGAAAATTTGCTTTCCTCCTCACTAACACTAAATAAGTATTTCTATTCTGTGGTTTCCATTGGATGCTTCAAGCTGATTTGTGGCCAGATCACTATAAACAATTAGGGATGTGTTATGCCGTGTTATGCATGCCCACCGAGATATGCATGCACCTCGCGGGAGCGCGCACAGCGTAAAGCAAAAACTCCCAGACATTTAAATCATTTGTGCGGCAAAGTACGGTTTGGAAACCATCACAAATAATTTTGGCGCTGTTCCGAGTTTGTTCTAATCTGTCAAAATGACAGACTGCTTTCAGATTTTTCCGTCATTGTTAAAAAAAATATTCGGTTAACGCGACCACTGCCGTCCCAGCAACATCAGTACCAAGCGAGAGAGCTTTCTCCACAGCAGGGGATATTGTAAATGCCCAAACATCCCAGCTTCTACCTGGAAATGTGGACATGCTCATATTCCTAAAAAACAACCTGTCTGATGATGCCGAGTGAGTGAGTGAGTTTGAGTTGAGTTACTTGATTTATTTTATTGCAGGGTCTGATTATTAAATGTCCTTGTGTATTTGTGAGATGCAGTGGCACAAAGAAAATGCCTGCTTTGTTTGGTAGTACTAGTAGGTAAAAATAACACTGGTTGTTCTTGTTCCAGTCTGTTACTGTCACTTTGTTTTTGACACTTTAAAATACTAATATCCTACTAAAATGCTGTATAAATCAGATTTATTATTTAATAAAGAAAAAAATGTTCCCCTTTATTTTTCCATATCGTGATAAATATCGTACCGTGAGTTTTTGGTATCGTTACATCCCTAATAACAATAGATCAGTGGAGGCCCATAGGGTGAATATAAATACAGCTACAGTTCTCTGCTGTACCTGGCAAAGTCACAGTTGATGTCTCCCAGGATCTTCATGAGGTCGGGGTGGACCGAGGTGAGGCACACGCTGGCCGTCTTCCTCATGTGGATCGTGCTCTTCTCCGCCAGGTTCATGTGGTTGAAGTAGATGAACTTAAACTGGGGCTCTTTCTCTGGCCTGAACACAAAATCAAAGAACATCAAAATGATTAAAAACAAAAGCAAAAATAAGCAACCAGCTGCTTTTGTCCCTTTTGGTTTACATAATCCTTTATATTTTGCTCAACCTGTGATCTCTGGGGCCAAACATCCTGCAAACACACTTTATTAATACATGATACAGTAAGCCAAATCACTTTAGATGATAACATCCAACAAAAGGCAAGCTGAGTATTTTAATTAAGCCTTCTCCATCGTCCACCAACGTTAAGGTGAGCCGAGGACACAGATATGACCACAGCTTGACAACAGTACTGTCATTTCTAGAAGAGTGTATATATGAAACAGGCTATACAGCTGATTCTTATTCTAATCATTTATAAAATCAGGACACAGACCTGAATGCCAGCGGAGGAATTTGGGACGGCTTTATTTATTCAGTGGATTCTTCACTAGGGTGATTAAAAAAGCAGCCCATCAAATCGCCCCGGGTCAGAGAGTCCAGTCTTGGATTACAGACGGGACGGATCTGAATGTAACGGACGGTGAGAGGATGCAGACTTTAATGCGGCGCTGCTTGAGTTACCCCTAAGTAGAGCCCCGGCCATATCAAATGGTATTAGAGCGAGTTAATACAAAAGGCACACTGAAAACTGAAGACTAACAACATGGCTGCTGCGACCAATTGAAGCAGTACACTCCTGACCGAGGCAATAAAACGTATCGTAAAAGATAATAATGTTTAAAAACAGTAATGAATCACTGACTTTTCTCCTGCTACTGCCTGTTCATGATGTAGCACTAAAAGGACTTGATTGTTTAAATTAATTGAATAACTGATACCCAAGTAGGGCTGAACGATTAATCGATTTTAAAATGATGCAATTATTTATTTGTTGTTCTTCTTGTGTGTCAGTCATCCACACCAATCAGAAGTGCTGTGCTCCACATGTACCAGTCATTGTTAACCAATCAGAAGTGGCCCATGATAGACAGATTGATCCAATCACCTGCCAAGTATTTTTGAAAGTGCCTGCCCTTTTCCAAATGGCTTCCAATGGAGCTTTCCTAGATGGCTTGGTGAAGCAAACCATCTGAGTCAGGTTAGTAATGCTCCATCACATGTTCTACATCTATTACAGGGTGAGTCTTAAACTAAAGCTTGACTTTAAAGCAACCCAACGGAAGTTTCATGTAAGTTTAGTTCTTTCACTCGTAGCTCGGGCTGCGGGGGTGCTAGAGACGGGAGCACGTTGATACGACCTTCCTAGCCGGAGATATGACCGCATTTTATAATAAACTTCCGTTGGGTCGCTGAAAAACAAATATCGCAAATCGAATCGCAATCGCAATCTGTCAGAAAAATCGCAATTAGATTATTTCCCCAAATCGTGCAGCCCTATACTCAAGTACTCTAAAAAGTTATAAAAAACAAGGGAACTCAAAATCCTAAAATCAACTAGTCCACTTACATCTAAGACAACATATATAGTTATTCTAGCTGAAATTCTTACAACTGAAAGGCTAGGAAATATTTGGCATTGTTACCTTAAAAGAAAAACAGTAAAAAGTTTATTTTCAGTCAATTTACAGAATAATTTGATTGATTCTCAAGTTATTTGAAACCTAAACATTGCTTTTTCCATTTTCTCAAATGTGATTTTTTTTTTACACTAAATTGAATTAGTGAAGGGAGAAATCATTGCTAATGAGATTCATCATTAGTGTCAGCCATGATTACAAAGTCAGCTCTGAAAATGGTGAGGAAGTGGGTCAATTTGAGATTTTAACATTATCCCTTATGCTGCAAGGTCATCACAATGCTCCATGAATACGGAGCATTCAAGCTTTAAAATCTGTTCTGTTGGCAAACTTGACTATTAAAAAAAAATCATATCTTCAACCGAAGAACATTTTTGAAACATTTGACCAGTTAAGTCTTCACAACAATAAATACTTTTCACACAGTGTGGCGAGTTGTTGATTGTGAAAGTGGTGGATGATTAACTGACCCTGATATCCTGCGGTTTACTGTGAACTGTTCACATATGTCAGAGGCCAGCAGAGTGAGCTGAGGGCCCACCAAGGCGTCCAGCTGCTCGCAGAAATCCCTCGTCAGCTCCACAGAGGCTGGGAAGAGACAGGGGAGAGAAGCAAGTGAGCCATAATGGGAAATCAGCTGAAGAAAAAGTCATATTTTAGCATTAAAATAGCCAAATAATATAAGATCTTCTGTGAAAATAACCAGGAGAAGGGGAGTGGAAGTTATCTGTATTTTTTAAAGTCAGTGTAATAGAGTGCCACAGTGACGCGTCCTAAAACCTGGAAGTAAGTTAGCATGTTACCACTTCCGGTTCCTTCGCCAAAAAGCAATGCAATTTCTCCATAGGATGTTGGAAAATATCTGGAAATAAGGTCTGTGGTTGAGACACATTGAAGAGACGGGTCACGTTTTGTTCTACGACATTAAATACATCAGCAGTGACCCCACTGGTGATTTCTGAAGTATTTACGTGTCTGAAAAACGATGGTTGTTACCAAGTGGCTGAGTAGGACTACAGAAGTTGTCGAGGCCGTTGTACGTCATTACGCCGAACACGTAAACACTCCTCTAAGTTTGTTTGCCCTGTTCTGCTTGAAAGTAAGTGCCTGCCTCCTGAAAACTGTTCAAACAAACGCTTCAACTTGAACCATTTAGAATCTGTATGTTTGAATATGGATCTTAAGTTGGCGTGACGTTGAAGCAGCGACCCTGCTGTAGTTCGTTTATAGCATAACGTTAGCATTTTGCTTCTGGCGACTATATTTATGATTAGAAAATGATAAAAGTAGGGTAGACATGTGGAGATTATCCGGCTGAACAAAACGTGATCTGTCTCTTAAATGTGTGTCGACCACAGACCTTATTTCCAGCTATTTTCCAAAATCCTATGGAGAAATTGCATTGCGTTTTTGTCGAGAAGAACCGGAAGGAGTTCACTTCCGGGTTTTAGGACGCGTCACTGTGGCACTCTATAGGTGCACACTCACCACTGATCATAAAGCAAGCTGCCGCGCTCATCGCCTGCAAAAGATCAGATCAGGTTAAATGCAGAGTCAAGGTCACACAGGTTAGAAATAACATTAATGTGATGATGAGACACACTTCATCATTTTAAAACTCAGCTGTCTAATCCAAAAAAACCTGTATCATTTGACAGAGCAGTGGAATTAAATTGACAGATTATGAAAATCATTCTAAAAAATGAATCACCGTTTTAATACATTTCAATAATGTATGAATGATTAAGCCTGTGACAAAACAGCAGATCATATTTTGCTCCACCTTACCTTATAAACGATCAGGTGCAGCTCCTCATAGCCGTCCTCTGTGCTGACAAATATTTTAGGGAATCTGAATTTTGCCTCAGGATCTTTGAGATTTGTAGGTCCCGTCAGAAACCTGGAGAGGACCGAAGAGAGTGAGAATGAGTGAGTCAGAGACTAAAAATGAAAAATATTAAAGGTCCCATGTCATGGCCATTTCTACTGATCATAATTCCATTGTTGAGGTCTACTAGAATTTATTTATATTGTGCAATTTTCAAAAATCTCATTGGTTTCTCATACAGCATCTCTGTATAGTATGTGTATTCACTCTCTGTCCTAAACGGCTTGTTGGAGCTACTGCCCCCCCCCCCCTCCCTATGAGCCCATTGGCCGTCTGCGAGACAGCGAGACACAGCGAAACCAGCCCGAACACACACACACCGACTCACAGCCTCGCCGCGTCCCGCCGTCTCAGGGAAGAGAAATCGGCGGAGCTGCAGCTGAGAAAAGATTGAGTGTGTGTGTGAGGAAGTCTTAACGTCGTTACGTCACTTGGTTCCCGGAAGAACAAAATTGAAAAAGAAAATCTCCAACGAGGAGTTCTGGGGCAGCATAGACAGGTCTTTTCTGTGTTAGAGTTCTACTCGCTACAGGGTGTACTTTGAGGGTTTGTGACTCTGCAGACCGTTTACATGCAGAAAAACCTTCATAACACACAAGGGGACGGGTAATAACCGGAAAAGCATGACATGGGACCTTTAAGTTTCATGTGCAGTTGGTGTTGGAGAACAAGCCATCAGCCGATTAAAACAAAGTTCCTCCTTTTGGTAACAGAGATTTTACTCAGTACATTTCAGATGAATCCAAAATGTTATAAAGATATCCTGTAGAAACAGTTGGCCTAATTCCTGAATAATTGCGACTGGATCCTGAACTTCCTGACGGGCAGACCCCAGGCAGTGCGGGTGGGAAACATCACATCCTCCACCCTGATTCTTAACACCGGTGCCCCTCAAGGCTGCGTGCTCAGCCCTCTCCTCTACTCCCTGTTCACCCACGACTGCGTGGCCACACACAGCTCCAACACCATCGTGAAGTTTGCTGATGACACGACCGTCATCGGCCAGATCACAGACGATGACGAGACGGCATACAGAGAGGAGGTCGAAAACCTGACATCTTGGTGCCAGGAGAACAACCTCCATCTCAACATCAGCAAAACAAAGGAGCTGATTGTGGACTACAGGAAGCAGCAGGGAGAGGGACACGCCCCCATCGCCATCAATGGGACTACGGTGGAGAGAGTCAAAAGCTTCAGGTTCCTTGGGGTCCACATCACTGAGGACCTGACATGGTCTCTTCACACCACCACCATCACCAAGAAAGCTCGACAGCGGCTCTTCTTCCTCCGCAGGCTGAGGAGGTTCAAAATGGATTCCAGGATACTCTGCAACTTCTACAGGTGCACGATAGAGAGTATCCTCACTGGCAGCATGACGGCCTGGTACGGCAGCCGCACCGACCTCGATCGTAAGGCTTTACAGAGGGTGGTGAAAACTGCACAGCACATCACCAGGACGGAGCTGCCATCCATGGAGGACCTTTACTCCCAGCGGCTCAGGAAGAAATCACTACGGATTATCAAAGACCCCCATCACCCCAGCCACAAACTGTTCTTTCTGTTGCCGTCTGGCAGACGTTACCGCAGCATCCGGGCAAGGACAAGAAGATTCGGAGACAGTTTCTTCCCGCGGGCAGTGAGACTGTTAAACAATTGAACTGTTGAAACAACATCAAACATTCAACTGCTACTCAGTAGTATGTATCTAATACCTAATATATATATATCATTCCAATAACTTGTATATAGACTCATACTGCACTATTCCACATCATAACTTTATTTCATTTTTATAACTATTACTATTTTTGTATTGCTCTTGCTCTTATTGTTATTATGTTATGTTATTATGTTGCATTGTTGGAGAAGCCTGTGACATAAGATTTTCAACTGCATAATTACTCAAGGTTCAAGGTTCAAGGTTCTTTATTGTCAATCTGACATAGCTACAGAGTAATTATGCAGTTGAAAATCTTATGTCACAGGCTTCTCCAACAATGCAACATAATAACATAACATAATAACAATAAGAGCAAGAGCAATACAAACATAATAATAGTTATAAAAATGAAATAAAGTTATGATGTGGAATAGTGCAGTATGAGTCTATATACAAGTTATTGGAATGATATATATATATTAGGTATTAGATACATACTACTGAGTAGCAGTTGAATGTTTGATGTTGTTTCAACAGTTCAATTGTTTAACAGTCTCACTGCCCGCGGGAAGAAACTGTCTCCGAATCTTCTTGTCCTTGCCCGGATGCTGCGGTAAACGTCTGCCAGACGGCAACAGAAAGAACAGTTTGTGGCTGGGGTGATGGGGGTCTTTGATAATCCGTAGTGATTTCTTCCTGAGCCGCTGGGAGTAAAGGTCCTCCATGGATGGCAGCTCCGTCCTGGTGATGTGCTGTGCAGTTTTCACCACCCTCTGTAAAGCCTTACGATCGAGGTCGGTGCAGCTGCCGTACCAGGCCGTCATGCTGCCAGTGAGGATACTCTCTATCGTGCACCTGTAGAAGTTGCAGAGTATCCTGGAATCCATTTTGAACCTCCTCAGCCTGCGGAGGAAGAAGAGCCGCTGTCGAGCTTTCTTGGTGATGGTGGTGGTGTGAAGAGACCATGTCAGGTCCTCAGTGATGTGGACCCCAAGGAACCTGAAGCTTTTGACTCTCTCCACCGTAGTCCCATTGATGGCGATGGGGGCGTGTCCCTCTCCCTGCTGCTTCCTGTAATCCACAATCAGCTCCTTTGTTTTGCTGATGTTGAGATGGAGGTTGTTCTCCTGGCACCAAGATGTCAGGTTTTCGACCTCCTCTCTGTATGCCGTCTCGTCATCGTCTATGATCTGGCCGATGACGGTCGTGTCATCAGCAAACTTCACGATGGTGTTGGAGCTGTGTGTGGCCACGCAGTCGTGGGTGAACAGGGAGTAGAGGAGAGGGCTGAGCACGCAGCCTTGAGGGCACCGGTGTTAAGAATCAGGGTGGAGGATGTGATGTTTCCCACCCGCACTGCCTGGGGTCTGCCCGTCAGGAAGTTCAGGATCCAGTCGCAGAGGGCGCTGTTGAGCCCGAGGTCTCTGAGCTTGATGGCCAGCTTGGAGGGCACAATGGTGTTGAATGCTGAACTGTAGTCAATGAACAGCATTCTCACATATGTGTTCCTGTTCTTCGGGTCCAGGTGTGAGAGGGCAGTGTGGAGGGTGAGGGCTATGGCGTCGTCTGTGGACCTGTTTGCTCTGTAGGCAAACTGCAGGGGGTCCAGAGATTCAGGGAGGGAGGAGGTGATGAATAATTTGACTAACCGCTCAAAGCACTTCATTATGATGGAGGTGAGTGCTACTGGGCGGTAGTCGTTGGGGCAGGTGATGATTGTCTTTTTGGGGACAGGAATGATGGTGGAGTGTTTAAGACATGTGGGGACTACAGACTGCAGCAGGGACCTGTTGAAGATGTCTGTGAACACCTCTGCCAGCTGAACTGCACACACCCTGAGAACACGGCCAGGGATGCCATCAGGTCCAGGAGCCTTGTGTGGGTTAACCCTTTTAAAGGATTTACACACATCTGCCCTATTTAAAACAAAAGGGCAGTGTAGCTCCTGGTCCCTCTGTACCTCCACAGCCTGGCTGCTCTCAAAGCGTGCAAAAAAACTATTTAGCTCATCTGGGAGAGATGCGCACGCAGAACACTCCCGCAGCACCCCCCCGCTGCTCCTTTGTAGTCAGTCATTGTCCTTAGTCCCGCCCACATATTCCTAGTGTTACAGCCTTTGAAGTCAGATTCCACCTTCTCTTTGTACCGTCTCTTTGCATTTTTTATTGCTCTCCGGAGATCATACCTAGACTTCCTGTACTCCTCCAAATCTCCCGCTGTGTGCGCGAGAGTGCGCGCTTTCAGTTTGCCGCGCACCTCACCGTTTACCCAGGGCTTTTGATTTGGGAATGTCCGTACAGAAACCTTCGGTACCACGTCATCGATGCATTTCCCAATGTAGCAGATGACAGTGTCCGTGTGTGTGTTGATGTTATTGTCCTCAAACACACTCCAATCCGTAGATGCAAAGCAATCCTGCAGTGCTGAATCTGACTCCTCGCTCCATCGTTGTACTGTCCTTGTTATCGGTCTGTCCCTTTTAAGTTTCTGCTTGTAAGCAGGCAACAACAGTAGTGAGATATGGTCTGATTTGCCGAAGGGAGGGGCGAGGGAGAGGCCTTATATCCATTCCGGAAAGGGGAATAACATGGTCCAGTATGTTTCCCCCTCGCGTCGGGAAGTTGATGTGTTGGTAATATTTTGGCAAAACCTTCTTCATGTTGGCGGTGTTGAAATCTCCGGCCACAACGAACGCCGCATCTGGCCGTGAAGTCTCGGTTTTATCAATAAACCCAAACAGCTGATCGAGTGCCGTGTTGTTGTCGGCGAGTGGCTGCGGCGGGATATACACTGCTGTTATCACAACAGATGTGAATTCCCTCGGCAGATGGAAGGCCCGACATGAGATCATGAGGTGCTCTAGCTGTGCGGAACAGTCCGATGAAATAATCTTCACATCTGAGCACCAGTTGTTGTTAGTCATTACACACACACCGCCTCCCTTACTTTTCCCCGAGTTTGCAGTCCGGTCCTGACGAAAAATAGAGAATCCGTCAGGGACAATAGCGGAGTCCGGGATAGCGGGGTTGAGCCAAGTCTCAGTGAGAATTAACACGTTACAGTTCTTAATGTCCCGTTGAAAAGCAATCCGGCTTCTGAGTTCATCTAGCTTATTTTCAATGGATTGAACATTAGCCAGAAGAATACTCGGAAGAGGGGGCCGATTCTCACGTTTTCTTAGTCTGACCAGCAACCCGGCCCGGCATCCTCGCTTTGTCTTCTTCTTGCGTCTCTCAGGTAGAACAGCAACAGGTAGCCATGGTGAATCTCCATTGTCTGTCGGAGGGTTAATATTGTCCACGAAGTTTCGCAATTGGAGAAGTTCCTCTCTGCTATATTGTCACTCTGTAGCTATGTCAGATTGACAATAAAGAACCTTGAACCTTGAACCTTGAATTGCATGGGGTGGTAACTAAAGACTCTACGTCCACCATTCCAACAAATAATGGATGGATTGGAATGATTTTTAATGTTTTTATGACTTGCATATAAGTGTTGCTCACGTTGGATGATTTTGCCTCATGGTGGCACTAGTGCAGGTTATATGCAGGAATCCTGAAGTCAAATGTAAGACCTTTTAAGACCTTTTTTAAGACCCTTTCCATACATTTTAAGACCCTTTCCATACATTTTAAGACCTCATCGCCACTTGGAGTTTTAACCGGTTACATTGGCGACACACTTTACCTCACATTGACTATATACAGTATTGATTGTCCTTCCTCCTTATCTTCCAACCATTTGGACGCAAACTTGCATTTCCCCATAACGATGTTGTTTAACAACCGGCGTAAACGGACCTTCGCGCGCTATCAAGCAGTGAGCGTGCGATGTCCTGTTCAGATGACGTCAAATCCAACGGGATGCCATAAATAAACTACACAGAATCACACTACACACCTACGCAATGATTACATTCAGGCAAACTGTAGAATACAACCTCTTTGGACAATTTATATACTTATTGAAAACAAGCTACAAAATGTAATACCTTGGAAAATGCCGTTTAATACTTTTTAATAGCCTTCATTTTCGCTAAATTGATTTATCAACTTTTAATACTTTTTAAGACCCCGCGGGGTAAATGGGTACGAATAATGACCTGGGAACCATGAATATTCATATTACACAGCAAAAGGGATCCGGACTGAAACAGAGCTGATCAAGCTACATTTCTTTTTTTCTAAAAACGGACCAGAACCCTTTGACCCTAAATTCCTCCATGACTGATCCTAAAGATAAGCGACAAACTGAACAAGGGGTTTGTTGTTTTACACTGGATTCCAAGGATGCCAAGGATGCCACTAAACATGAACTGGAACCATTGTAACATGTGCCTCTCTGGTGTAGCTTTCCCTGCATGGATCTTTTAATCTTAAATATTATACTTTACCCTACATGTGACTCTTTTTCTGGCCTTCAAATATCAATGTAATCCAGTTAGAGCTTTAAAACTGTATTTAATCCCGTGATATGTCACCAGGAGTCAGTCTTGGACTTCTGCAGCAGCTCTACTTCACTCTCAGAAACTTCAAATATCCTGCAGATAAAAGTTGTCAGACAGCAAACATCCGAGCAAACTTTCTGATGTAACATATGTACACTGAAACTGAATATAAAGTGGATTTTAACCCCTGCAGATGAATAAATACCAAGACTCCTGGGTTCGCTTGCTTAACAACAATAAGTGTTAGCCAAGGGAGGAACCTCCTTACATATCGTGGTTGACTGCAGGCAGTGCTCATTAATGTCAATGGGTTGAAACCACATGTTGCTGGCACACAAGAGTCTGCTTTTGTGCATAATAACATTATTCCACTGAAGTGTGTACACAGATACATGAGACCTGGGACTCACCTCCCATAATGCAACAGGTTCCCTGCCACCTCGGGCCTCAGGGGAGAGTCCCTGCCAGCCAGCTGAAGGGAGGACAAGATGACAGAGGATGATTAGTGGAAGTGAAAATGAGTGGTATCGCTTTAAAGGGAACATTCACAGCTCATGTTCAGGCCAGTAGTCATGTCTGGATCATTAATATTAAGAACTGTGTGTAGATCACATTACATTTTGATACCGTCCATCATCAGGGAGAAGCACAGTATTTGGAGCGCACACTATTGTTCTCTGTACTTTCTATAGATATTCATTTTGGCTGTGTACCAAATCATTCGCTACAAACTACTGACTATCTCAGGAGTCCTATGGTAAAGACTATATAGGGAACTCACTGGCGAAAAGAAAAAACACTCTCAGAAACGACTCCGGTCTTTTTCTCAAGACCATTGAAGTCGCACAATAAAACCGAGCACAACAATCATTTGTCCGATGAGTTGTGCAACACTGCTCTGCTCCAATTAAAACACGTTTCTGTTTAGCGACACAGTTCATGGAGTTTCATAGAAAGAATTCACTTTTATGATCCCCTCATATGTCTGCATTTTTGTTTCCTTCAGCACAATGCTAGCGGGTGTATTGTGCTTGGTTTGTGACTATCAGTTGTAAACAAATGGTCAAATACTTTGAGGCCACCAGACAGAGTATAATAACTCTTACTACTGCCCACCCCCCCCCTCACCTCTGGTTCAGAGTGTCTGGGGAACAGCGAGGTGGTCAGGTACTTGTACAGGATCCTCATGTCATCTTGTTCCAGTCCGCTCCTGCAGACCCAACAAGGAGAAAATGAAATCGTCACAACACACAGTATTACGCATCCTTGGCTAAATCATGCAAAAAACCCTGGCTCTAATAACTGTTTAGAAAGGGTTGAAAACAGGTTTTAATGAAACCCATACAGCTTAAGTTAGGCAAAATTAAATAGCTTTTCTCGATTCTCTGACAAAGATCCCTCTGTTCTAAAGTCATTTCATTAGAAATCATGTAATCCCCCTGCGCTCACACACAGAGCCAGGTGGCTGTCAGTGTTATTCAAAAGGCTAGTGACACACCAGGGAGCACAAAGAGGATTACAGGCTGTGTTTAGAGCCACCTCTGTTTACCCAGCATGCCACAATGTGCTTGTAGATGTTGCTTTGGATACGTGTAAGGTTGTGGCTTGAATGAACCCACAGGTGGAACAAAGTGTGTACCAGATAAGCTGGTCGTTATACAGGAAGGCCGTGTATTTGATCAGACTGAGGCTCTCCTCCACTCGGTTGACGAAGGACTGGATCTTCAGGTAGGTCATCTTGTCCAGCGGGAAGAAGCTGATGCCTCCGAAAACATCCAGCAAATCGCAGGACTGCAAGTGGAGCGTCTGCAGATACTGGAAAACACCAAATATTGGGGGACAGCCAAGAGACACAGGAGAAAGGGGTTAGTTTACCCGCCTAATAAGTGCTTGCTTACAGTGTAATAAAGGCAGAGATATAAGAAACTCTCTGACTGACGCGCTTTGCATCATCCTGACATTCAACCTCTGATACGCACACCACGGCCTCTCTCTTTCTCTGTCTTTGGGTTACATGGAGGGGAGGGAAGCCTGTGTTAAACTTAAGAAGGGTATTCCCTAATTATAAATAAATGTTTTATACTCTTGCATAAGTGTAATGCAACGCTGCACCAAGGTGAAATGAGACCAGGCAGACAGACATATCTCAGGAAATGAGGCATGACTGCAAACATCTTCTCAGCAGCTTTACCCAAGTGAGTATTTTCAAAAGAAACAATGTCAATATCTTCAGAGGTGACCAGCCCTTCAGAAAACATTTACGATCAGGCTTGACTGACTTTTTATACATAACTATCTGCGCATCTATTTCAATGAATCAAGCTGTCAAAGAAAGGTCAACTTACTCAGGGTATATGCAGGAACCCTGAAGTCAAATGTAAAACCTTTTAAGACCCTTTCCATACATTTTAAGACCTCATCGCCACTTTGAGTTTTAACCGGTTACATTGGCGACACACTTTACCTCACATTTACTATATACAGTATTGATTGTCCTTCCTCCTTATCTTCCAACCATTTGGACGCAAACTTGCATTTCCCCATAACGATGTTGTTTAACAACCGGCGTAAACGGACCTTCGCGCGCTATCAAGCAGTGAGCGTGCGATGTCCTGTTCAGATGACGTCAAATCCAACGGGATGCCATAAATAAACGACACAGAATCACACTACACACCTACGCAATGATTACATTCAGGCAGACTGTAGAATACAACCTCTTTGGACAATTTATATACTTATTGAAAACAAGCTACAAAATGTAATACCTTGGGAAATGCCCTTCAATACTTTTTAATAGCCTTCATTTCCGCTAAATTGATTGATCAACTTATCACGGACACCCTGTTACTGCATGCAAAGTAAACAAACGTAATGACTTGTTACCCGGTAGAAGAACTTTTCAAGCTTCTGGATGAGCAGCTCCGCTCCTCCGGCCTCGACTGCTCTGCCAAACGTACCATTGAAGAGCTGCAAGAAAAATAATCACTGTTAAGATGATATTCTTAATTAAAAATGCCTGAAAATTAAGTACTGTAGGGGTGTGATTATATATATATATATATATATATATATATATATATATATATATATAAAAAAGTGGGAATATACAAAAAGAGCAACATATTTAAAGGGGAAATATTATCCTAATTTTCAGGTTCATATTAGTATTTAGTGTCTCTCCTGTGACATGTCTCCACGCTTTAAAGTTCAAAAAGCTCTTTATTTTTCTCATACTGCCTGTGCTGCAGCACCTCTTTTCACCCTCCCAGAGCCCAGTCTGCTCTGATTGGTTAGCTGGCCGGCTCTGTTGTGATTAGAGGTGTCCCGCCCCTTAACCTATCACGCAGACTGTGTTGCAGCCAGGGGCGGACTGGGACTAAAAATCAGCCCGGGAATCGCGACCGGCCCACTTCAGTATCGCTAGTAAATTGTCAACAGGGGGGCGGGGGGGGGGGGGTTCTAGTGAATTGACCGGCCCACTTCGGTACTGGTTGGAGCGCTAGCCAATACAGGCACATCCAAAAAAGCAAAATAGGGCCCCTTTAAAACATCATGGAACTCACCTTGTACATACTGTAGCATTCTTTAACTACCGCACCATAAACGGTGTCCTGCAAAGTCAAAAGAGCATGATGAGAAACAAATGTATGTGACCATATTCAATGACTTAAATACAGACGTTGATGAGTATCTCTCACAAGTATTTCCTCTTCCTGATATTCTTGCGTGGGAGGTTTGCCATCTTTGTTTGGTTTCTCGATCATTGGGTTTCGAACCACCTGAGGAATTAACAGTGGATAAAAACGGATTAAATACATACAATCCAACAAGTTCTAGACAAACAGAGTGAATACTGTGCAAGTAATGTAACATTGGAGCCTTTAAGATACCATGACCATCCAGAAATTGTCCTCGGGCTCAAAGAAAAACTGCCGGTTCTTCTGTGTGTGCAGGGATTTAGCTGGTTTTGTTGGACAGAATGTCCTGGAAGATAGAAGAAATGACCGTGAAGACAAAGAAAACACATCCAAACATGATCGACCCTCCTATTTTGTGTTTTTACAGACAAAGTAGATATGTATAAGTGTGTATCTGACCACTTATTGCGACATTTCCCTATTTTGTTACAGTTCAGGTTCACAGAATGACTCGCTTATTTAGTTTTCTTTAACAGAGCTCGCCAAATTAAGCTATGCAATGATCTTAGACACTTTTTAAATCCATGGCAAGTCTTAATATGATGCCTTTTGTTTCAAGTAGAGTAGTGAACTCCTTACCTTGTGAACTGTACGATGGCTTCACAAAGACCCACATTACGGATCTTTTCGTTTTTCTCCACTTCACTCGGGTGGTAAAACAAGATCTTCTTCTCTTCCTTAAAAAGACAAAAAGCCAACCTTAAATTAGCCGTTGAATTACCCGAGTATAACCTGAGTAAACAGATACAGGTGTAAAACATGTGCTTAGCATTTCTATATCGGTGAATCCACCTCACCTCTCCTTCCCGTGGTCCAAATGTTGGGTTGTAAACGAAAAAATTGAGCAGAGATGCCGTGAACTGTTTCTCTTGCATTCCTGAAGCCATCCTGGGACTGTAACGACACAAAGAGACAGCTGACAGACCGTGATACACAGATAAAGCCCTCTATGTCAGCGTTGCATCATCACAATCACGCTTTACCTAATCATCAACATTAGTGGAACTTGTGTCTGGATTTCCTTTGCTCCAAAGACTGTTTGGTTAGCATGCCGTGTGCCTGCAGAATGAAGAGAAATGACATCACATACTGTAACAGAACAGAGCTAGACGATAATAATAATAATAAACTACTACTAACAGGATTGTTTTTGGATTATAGGATTAAGATTATTACCCACAAATCAGTTATCCAACTATTGTTTTAGCTGCAGATCTGTATTTGGTACAGGCAGAATTCCTGAAAAGGAGAATTGGTGTTTCCAGATCCATGCATGAGACGAAAACATAAATCATATTTTTCAGAGCATTTTGTGCACCTAGGGTCCTACACAAAACTAAGGCAGTCTAAAATACTGTAAAGTGTTTCTGATAAAGTCTACATGCTCTTAATACGATTGATAATTGTGAGTATAGGGCAAAACAATAAATCTGCGTCACAATATGGCCTCAAAGATTGATTTGATGAGGGTGCGCAAATATGATCACATCACCCCCATCCTTAAATCACTACACTGGCTCCCCGTGGAACTGAGGATCGAATTCAAGGTCTCCGTCCTCACCCACCAGTGTATCCATGGAACTGCCCCTCCCTACATCAAGGAACTCCTCACCCCCCATACTTCCTTGCGGACCACCCGCTCCAGCAACTCCAACCTCCTCAAACCCCCCAGGACCAAGCTCCGTACTATGGGAGACCGGGCCTTCTGCTCGGCTGCTCCCAGTCTGTGGAATGCTCTCCCCGACCACATGAGAGCACCACAGACCGTGGAAGCTTTTAAAAAAGGCCTCAAAACCCATCTGTTCAATAGAGCCTTTCCCTAGACCTTTTATCTATTACCACCCTTTTATTTTATTTTATTTTTATTGTTTGTTTTTTATTCATTCTACCGTAACCGTATAGTTCAACAAAAACTATGCATAAGCTTCATGTAAGAAGGAAGTATTATTGCAGGGCTGTTGTAATAGACTGCATTAGCTGTAGGTTAAATCAACTGTAAATGTAATGCAATTTTTTGCAGTAAAATGCACCAAGGCTGCCTTCAAAATGTATTACTACCTGGGAAATATTTTAATGTTTTGCTGATCCAATGCAAATAAACCACAGCATCACAGGTACCCTAACTACAAGAAGTTATTAAGGTTTTGAATGTAGTTTATTGTTAAAAGTTTAACTTGTAAGTAAGCTAGCAGCCATAAGATACATTTAGAGAATGCTTAAGTATGTTTGTCTTCCCTTTGGTACAGTATCTGAATAACCACAATTCAATACGTTGTACCTGTGTATCAAATACATGTGTTTGTCTGCTAGCCGATTTATATTCTGTCATTGCTGTTGTTTACACTCATTGTAAATGTAGCACCGTGACTGCTCTGGTTAAGCCTGTGAAGTATGTGCGAGCTAAACTAAACCCTGAAGATGAGAAACACCTCTTTACACACTCGCTGTTTTTTAAATTATGACTTTAATAAGTTAAGTGATGTTATGTTAAATGTTTGTTTTCCTTGTATCGTGTCTTATTATTTGTCCTTGTCTGATGTTGCGAATGGAGCTGCTGTGATGCAGGTAACATGTCAGACTTGATCTGACAACAAATTACTGTATTTCTTTGCTTTTACAAAAACACAGCGTTGTTTCTGTACGTTAACAAGTACAACCAGTTAACAGTAACCGTTAAAAAGCCAGTTAACGACAGTTGTTATGGCAATTTGACCGTTGAGCAGCTACTGTAGTTAGCCGCTTAGCTTCAATGCTAACATTGAGTTGTGTTTTCCGTTGGGGGAAAACTCAGTGACAGAAAAACACGAAGGTAGCACTCACCTCACAGAGCCAAGACCCAACACCTGCATATCCTTGTGTTTAGAGATTGTGTTAATTATAATAAATAATGAGTAAATGAGATCAGTGAGAGGAGATGCCGCATTATACTTTACATTCTTAACTTCCTGCTTTTGACAGCGCGGTGTCACAGATTGTACTGTCCGTGTACCAAATAAAGACAAATAAAGGTTCCTACTTCATATCAGTGAATTCATAATTTTGTTTTGAGTCTATAGGGAGAAAGTCAAATTAATGATGTGTTATCTATTTCGCCAAAATCATTTAGTATGATATAAAAAAATGCTACAACATTTGTTGTGATTGGTCTAAGTGTTGTTCTCTTGTACGGACATACTTTTGGGATGTATCCAACAGTATGACGTTTGATATTTTCAGATCACATAAACAATTACATGTATTAATCAAGAGTCAAGTCAGGAACTCTTATTAAAAAAACAAAATGTCTTTTCACATTTTGTTGTGTTTTCACAGTGTGCATATATTTGACATTCATGCTATGAGTTTATAGATACCTACTTTTTGATTTTACTCTTTGCAGTTTCTGAGATAAAGCCATATTTACATAATATTGTGCTTTGGGTACATGGGACCACCGTTTTTAACCTTACATTTTATGAAATAAAACAGTAGTCAAGGATGTGGTTTCATACAGTAATGTTTGGTTTAAGCTTCTTAGTATTGGGAGTTGTTCATGCTCTTGTTTGCAAAGAGGTTAAAGTACTCACGTTACACTGTGGATTACAGTGACGCTATTAACCCCTACTCAATCGTAACCAAGCTAAACATTTGTTTTGTCTCAATAAAACGTAGTCCTGGGCCTTCTCTTGTTTGATCTTGCATTTGATTACACCCTACAACTCCTCTATTGTGCTCTGTGCTGTTAGGTTGGATTAGTTAACAAATCAAGAATACTATACTTTTGTAAGGACCTGGTCATGTTTTACTTGATCTCCACGTCCGGTTCATTGTTTAAATTATACCACACACAGTTTTTGTTGGTCTTATGTATAAATGCAAAACTTAATAAAAAAGTCCTATGATGCTTTTATTCCCTGCTCTCATTTTTATGGATTATGCTTTTGAGGAATCAGCTACTATTTAAGTACATTCATGCATTCTTTTTGCACGTTAATGGCGTATTATATGAGTGAGGTTTTAACAATGTTAACCTGTTTAACCAAGAAGAAGTGAACACAAAGAAGTGATCTGTGTTTCCACACGTTTATTCATCTCATTCATTGACAGAGGTGGGGTGTGCACAGTGTTTTCCAAGTGGAAAAAGACACATTGACAGTCTGTTGTCTTTAACTGGACACAGTGTCTGGAAAAACAATTAGGCCACACATAATTTAGTAGAAAACAAAATAAATCACTGGGAGTGGAAGCTGGGATCTTTAGACTCCAGAGGTGAGGAGAGGGCTGCAGACCTGAAGGCTTGAGCTGTTTTCATGGGAAAAACTCAGGACTGCACCATGGTCTGGAACTCTACAGGAAGAAAGGCATGATAATCACTGAATGCAATGGTCCACATTTTTGGATTGTCCAAATCCTTTATCCTATTATGTAAGACAGCTAAACTCAGATTTTGTTGGTAACTGTAGGATTGGAAAAAACATTTTAAGTACTCACTGTTGGTAACAAATGTTAAAGAAACAAATAAGAGTTTAATCTCTGAGCTCCAAAGTAAAAATGCTTCAGTACAAACAACAGTATGTCTATAAACCTATAGTTTAAAAGTCTAACGCATCTTATAATGAAGATTTAATCAGAACGCAAACACTAGCTGCTATTACGGATGTGCACGTACTTAAACTGATCATGATAAGCAATGCTAATGCAGACAAGTTATGCCTGTTATTCTTGGTCAGTCTTACTGTTAGCAAACAGTACACAGTGTTAACATTCAATCCAAAGAATTGTTCGCATCAGGATTGATTCAAGATGTCCAAAGTCTCATTGTATTTTATCTAACAAAAGACTAAACTTACATGCATGTTTTCTGTTCCCCCAAAACACACAGTTTTCCTACATTTGAACCCAGGTGCCGCAGTAAAGTGATGCCTTAAATGCTGTCTTTAGTTTTTAAACACATGCAAATTCTCACCCAATTTTATTACAAGAGTTAAAAGTATCAAATTAATGCAATGTTTTCTAGCATGTTTCGTCAATGTGAACAAAGTAAATCATAACATTTAGACAGATGTATATCTCATAATGTCCAGGTAACAAGTGCTCTAAGCTGCATTCAAAAAAGCTGTCTCTGTTTGACTTAAACAAAAAATTCCAACTAATGAGATCATTCCTGCCTGCATCATGAGTTTGTCTGAATGCAATCTGAGAAATCAGACACCGACCCTCTGCTCCAATTCTGCCGTCACTGTCATCATCAGCTGCTGAGATGAAGGTCTTGGTTTCTGCCTCGCTCAGTGTCCGCGCCCCGGGGACAAACCGCTGCAGGAAGAACCTTCACACACACACACACACACACACACACACACACACACACACACACACACACACACACACACACACACACACACACACACACACACACACACACACACACACACACACACACACACACACACACACACACACAAAATGTTGAAAGAAAGTATTAGTAGTCAATAGACTTTTTCTGGTGTGCCTCTTGTTGGATAAAAGATGGTTTGAAATTACTTTTCTTTTATCTAATTGAAGAAAAACAATTTGTGCTATTTTATCAGCATAGTCATTTTAGCAAACGTTAAATCATTACCCATATCCCATATTTTCCTCATATCATGCCACCTTATTCCTAATTGCACGGCTTGTGTCGTCCTTTAAGGTTGAATAACATAGGCAATAACATGCTTTGCTCATTGTGGACAGCTTAATGGTGCCATCCCAATCATACCACTGTGTGACGTCATGTACTAAATCCTTCTTTCTGTCAGACACACACACACATTTCCTGAGGAAGTAGGGTCTAGGTCAGAAACTCAGTGTAAATTATTTTACCGGTAAATGATGTTAGTTGAAGAAACCTTTTGGATAGAGGAAGATATATGATTCTTTCCAGTGCATTTTTGTGAATCAAGGCACCAATACATTACATAATCAGAAGGTAATCAATGGTTAGTGTATTACATCATCATCATACATCCCAAATCTATGTTTCACACACTTGAGCTCAGACTCCTCGATGAAGCCGCTGTTGTCCTCGTCGAGGATCTGGAAGACATCTTTGACTTCCTGGGGCGTCTTTGAGGACAGGCCACACAGCTTAAAGAACTTTTTGTAGCAGAATGAATCCGGAGCTGCAAAACACAAAGTCACACACAACCATAGACTTAAAAGAAAAATAGCTGACTAATGAGGTTCAGCAGGGTGGAAGCTGATATGGAGATTAAACACATGGCTGCAGTCCAGGTGGGAGATTTTCTACCTGTGTTTTTATCTTTTAAATCCAGGAGACAGGAGATTGAAAACCCTTGGAAATGCAGTCCAAGCTTTCTATGGCTTTAGTGGAGAAGATAATGTACAATATGAGAACAATACAGCCAAGATAATAATATCGGAGAGTGTTTCAGATCTCACTCTTGACTCCGATTAGAAGTAGGTTGATTAATCATTTGTGGTTGGGAATTATTGTGCATTTTATTATAATTAAGTTTGGCTTTAGTAAGTTAAAGATAACGCTATTATCTTAATTCTGAAGTTGTGGATTCAGCATAATTTGCTTGCGCATGGCACGTCTATGAATAATAAGTGGTTTAAAAAATGGGTAGGGCCGGCATTGTGTGTGTGTGTGTGTGTGTGTGTGTGTGTGTGTGTGTGTGTGTGTGTGTGTGTGTTGTGTGTGTGTGTGTGCGTGTGTGTGTGTGTGTGTGTGTGAGAGAGAGAGGAGATGCTACCTTGACAGTCCTTGACAGCGTTTTCAATGGCCTCAGCTGAAAGAATGGAGGTGAGCGACATGTTGGTCCTGAAGGGTCAAAGAAAAGCTCTGTAAATTATTCACACACACACACACACACACACACACACACACACGCACACACACACACACACTGCAGTCATGGTGGTTTTGCCAAAAATGCTGAAGTTTCCAGGAAAAGGAGAACGGAATAAAGTAAAAATACAGCTCACATGTTTAAAGAATATACTCTTTGCTACCAGTGTGTTCTCCTTTTTATAAAGTCATAATAATTACGTTATGTGCTATGTGTGATTCATTAGGCTTCCTGGTTGGATTTCCCCTGGCGCCTCATAATTACTGATGTTATTTGCTGCGCTTAATTGGATTTTGCAAGGCTGTGCAGGATAATTGGCACTTGGGGACTGTATGAAAATGATTTGGGTGGGAAGGTGGGGTGAGCTTATATTCTATTATATGCAAAACCCTTGACAGTGTCATTATCATTTGGTCCCTTCTCATAAAATATGTTTGCCCTAGTACAATATTTACAAATGAATACATATAGAATCAGAGAGTGTTGAAACATCCTCTCCTGCTCTTCAAACAATTATAGACATGCTCTTTCTTGAACAAAAAGTAAAACTGTACAACATTCATCTGCTACTTAGTAATTATTTATCTATTTCTCTAATATATCATTCCAATAACTTGCATATAGACTCTTATTGCACTATTTCACTTTTTTAAACTATTTTTCTTTTTGTATTTACTATTTACTTGCACTATATTTGTCTGTGTATCTGTTATTGTGTTGCACTATTAGAGAAGCCTGTGACCTAAGATTTTCATCGGCATAACTACACTGTAGCTATGTTCGTATGACAAAATAAAGAACCTTGAACCTTGACATTTCATGCAACCATACTGCAAACTCTGTAATCATTTGAGTACAGTCACTCAAATACTTAAGAGTTCAAAGATATGGTGGCTAAAAAAAGTAATAAAAAAGTGTTCAAAACGAGGGAAATGATCAAAATAATGAGTTATTATCTGAAATAATGACGCAGTATCGCAAAACAATAAGTAACTTTTCACGAAATAACATATATTATTTGAGATATTAAGCTGTTAGAAAGTTTCTCATTATATTAATAATATGCTTTTTTCCCATCACATTAGCTTAAATTGAGGAAGTATAGTCTGTTTATCATTTTACAGGAATGTCTTATAGAAATAAAGGATTAGTGAGCTGAGAACAAATCCTAATATTGACCAAAAAGCATTAAAAACACTTTTTTATCAATTCAATAATCCATCCCTTTGTCCGTTCAGTAGATAGCTTGGGTAATTTAGTTGCAACCATTCAGTTTTTTAGCTTACAAAGAAGTTCAGACATTCATAAGCATGCATAGAACCTGCAAAAATAACAAATAAAGGAATGAAAGTCAATGCCTCCTCAGCAGGTAGCACACCTGGACTCACCGCTGTGTGCAGAGCGTTGCTAAGCGTCCAGACAGAGCAGCAGCAGCAGCAGCAGCAGCAGATGGAGAGATAAGGCTTTGTGGTGCCGCTGACAGCTGCCTCTCTCTTATATACTCAGGGGTGGATGCACTGAAGGATGCTTGAGTTTCCAACCTGTGTGCGTATCAAATGTTCCCCCAACCGGCGCCTCCTTCTCGAGTTCCTCACCTGCCCAATTAACCTTCACTGCCTCTCCGCTGCACACTGCTCTCTGTGTCCCTCTCTGATGTCATAAAACTCTGCTTTCTGCCTGCAGGTGCATGTGTGGAAGATTAACCACATCTCAAATTTAATCAGACCTCCTTTCTCTCTTTGGTTTTATTCTGAATAATCTCCTAAATTCAGATGCCCAGAGCAGCGGGTCATAAATCTTCTTAGGGCTCACCAGAGAGATGTTATCCCCCTCGTACATTTTGTTGTCTGATATCACCAGCTTTGTCGGGGATAGATAAAGGACTCCAAACCTCACTGTTTTTGGGAACGTATTGTTACATTTGACCTGAAAACCTGTTCAAACCTGTTCAAACACAAACAATGTGGGATCCTATTCCAGAGGAAGACGAAAAACAGGAAATCATTGCAGAACCGTCTAAAAGAACTTCCTGATAAATCTACTTCATATTAGTGACAATACAGGTTAATACAACAAATGTTTCACTTACAGATGTGTGTTCAGGTTTAAAGTACATGATTTGTTCTTATGAGAATACAGTTTAGAAGAGAAAATAAAAAAAATATTTAGAGAAATAAACTTAAAAAAATACAAAATAATAAAATAATAGTACAAAATAATTGTAATAATAATAATACAAATAAAGAAATAATAATAGTATTTTTAATTTTTATCATTGTTATTATTAATGTTTCTGTTTTCCCCGATTACAAAAATGTCAAAGAAGTATTGCATTTAAAAAAAAAATGCAATTATAAGCTCAAATCATTCTTAATTCACTTATGAGTGTTAGATACTTGATACATTTACTGTATTATGACTTCTTCTTCATCTACACACACATGCACACACACCTGACCTACTGTACGTTGAGGGGTTGTGTGTGGAAGTTTTTTTATTGTTGATGTTTTCAAGGTTTGCATCTGATCTCCATGAGAACTGTCCACTCTGAGTTTGTTGTCTGCATAGAGGAAGCATTCAAACAATCAGCACAACAGCACTAATGTCATTATCACAGAGGGGAGGCCTTTTTGTAACGAGAACCAGGGGAATACATCTCATTATTCTCAAAAGTAGTACCATGCACTGAAGCTGAGTGACGGCACTTTTATTTGTCCAAAGCCCCTTGATGTACTAGAAATTGAACTACTGGACTCAAGTGGAGCTCAGAAAACACATTCAAAGCTGGCAATGTAAAACCCTTAAAACAACTGAGAGCCTTCCTTGTGACTTGTTGACGGATCAGAGGCGCCATCGTGTGGCTGCTGCACTTCAATGCAGAGACATCCTCACTTAGGACATCCCAAGAAGAATTAAATAAAACAATCACCCCACATTGAAAGAGAGGAGAGCTGGATTAATTAGGGCAGCAGTCAGATGGGTAACTCAAACTCCTCACGTGACGTAATAGCTCCCAGATACAGAAATATTGTCGTTATGTAGGGCCTGTGGGTTAATATGCTATGATTTGACTGGTCTGGCCCACTTGAGATCAAAGTGGGCAGTATGTGGCCCCTTAACTGAAATGAGTTTGCCACCCCTGAGGCCTGTACTACGAAGCTGGATTTTCGCTTAGCCGGCTAAATTCAGGGAAATCTCGGGCTTTCCGGTCCTACGACGCTGGTTCTCTTTTTAGCAGGCTAGATTTCCATGGTAATTTATGCTGAGCGGCAAACCTGCTCCGGAGCAGGTTAGGTGGCAGGCTAAGAGATCAACTCAGTGAAAGCACTGCCTGCTGACCAATCAGAGCTCCGTGTGCGGAGTTTAAAGCGATCAATTCATATTACAGGATAGAGGAAATACAGAAAAACTGCCGTTGCAGGAAAGACTGCCGGCCAAAATCAACTGACTGTGTGAACGTGAAAATTAATAGAATATCCCCTCCCATCTTCAGAGCAATCTGACTATTATAATATTAGCGTTAAGAAAGCTTACTTAAATATCTGCCACGACATAAGTAACCGGATCAGAGTAACATTAAGTACAGTCCGCGGCACTGTGAGTGCAGACGTCGATGTGTCCCATTATCATTCATATCATATCACATCATAATGTATCATATATTTCCTTATCTGAGTCAGCTGAGCCGTATCTGGCCGTGCAACACTCACAGTGTCACATACTGTATGCAGAAGTATTATTTTAAGCAACACATTAAGTTGACGAAACACTCGAGTCAAATTCTCCTAATTAAAGTCAGATCCACTCGTGTCTTGGACGGGTCAGTGATTTCATAAACCTGTTAATGTACGCATTCAAACACTTTTTCTTTTACCAGCTGTATTCACCTTGCAGGTGCAGCTATGTGGCTTTTATCCTGGATAAAGTGTTTAAGTCATGGATGTTTAAAGTTTAACTTCTTCATATTTGTGTTTGAGATTGGTCGAATGCTCCAAATACCACCCCTTTCATGTGAACGCGCACCTAACTAGATAGGACACGGCTGGCTTGAGCGATCCACTTGATAACCAGCGTCGTAGTACAGTTTAGCGCCAGCGCGTATGTTTTGGCTTAGGCCAACCGGCTAACTCCAACATATCCAGGTTAGGTTGAACCAGCTTCGTAGTACAGGCCTCTGGTCTAGATTAAAAGAGGTGATATCTGTGTTTTTTATTTACTATCACCACAGCTGGTGACAAAGACCTTCTTCATGTTGATAGTGTGAGACTTTGTGACTTTTATAAAGAAGTAGCATCACTTTCTTACTCTCGCCCAATCAATTTGCTGCTACTATCCATACCTGGTGTTACAGTAGTAAACAGTGGCAATTGTGTAAGCTAATGTTAGCATGTTTAAAGGGGAACAGCACCTCCAATTAAGAATTTCAATTAACAATTGTGGACATTCTCTCGGAGGAATAAGTGTCATAGTTTTAAGTCTGGTGCTTCTCAATGACTGATTTTAGGAACAACCATATGCTTTGTTTGCTTTTCCTTTACTCAAATATGCTCAAAGAGGAAATATTATTCGCATTTTCAGGTTCATATCAGTATTTAGAGTCTCTACTGTGACATGTCTCCATGCTTTAATGTTCAAAAAGGTCTTTATTGTTCTCATACTGCCTGTGCTGCAGCACCTCTTTTCACCCTCTGTCTGAAACCAGAGCCCAGTCTGCTCTGATTGGTTAGCTGGCCGGCTCTTTTGTGATTGGTTAGTATTAGGCCCATTAGACTTTGCTTTCTGCTGTTGCATTAGATTAGCATTTTAGCTAATTGTTTAGTGTTCGGCTTTGCTGTCGCTTGTAGCCAAAGTGGTTTCCATTTGCTTTGTGGTGTTTTCTTGGAAAAAGCTTTTGAGATTTCCTTAGAAGGAACTGTTTAAGATCTCTTGCTGAGATCTCTTGCTGAACCATATTGAAGACCAGTCAGACGTTATTGAAAAAGAACCTTTATTATGATCTCATCATTCGTCCGTTTTCCATAAAAGTGCATCATCGCTGATTTCACAATAAGCAAAACTCACATAGTAAAATGAGGACAGAAGTGAGAGAGAGAGAGAAAGACACAAGTCAACCAAGCTATACACTTTGAAAGGTACATTCATCGTGGACAGAGAGAGAGAGAGGAGGCTTGTTTTTTCGGTCAGGGGGGTGAGAGGTCAATTGTATAAAACTGGTGTAGTGAGTGGGAGAGAGAGAGTGAAATGGAAAAGAGAGGACTATGTCTTGTCTCAAATTAAGAGAAGGGATGTAGGATGTTGTCTGATTCTCCATTTAAGCCTTGACCATGGTGGCGAACTCTGCAGGAAGACAAAGAAAGAAAAAGGTTATTTCAAGATCTTTTTAGATATATTTAAAGCTTCTTAATTTGGTTTTATTTCCAGATAAGATTCCCATTTTTTTTCTTCTCACCATCGATTCCGATCATGCCATCACCATCGATGTCACCGGCCTTCAGGAAAGCCTTGGTCTCAGCAACAGTCAGAGCTCTGGCACCGGCAGCGAAGTTCTGCAGGAACAGCCTGGAGAGGAAGAGAGACACTCAGTAAATAATGCATACAGATATAGATGGAAAAGATATTTAAATATTTATTCTGCATGATCATGATTGGTTTTGAGAGTTTGTAGATGTGAGAAAATCTCATTCAATTATTCTCATTGTATTTCTTTCAGGATAAGTTAAGTAAGTTAACTATGAAGTAGAGTTGAGATAGTAGTAAGTTAAGTATGAAGTAGAGTTGAGATAGTAGTAAGTTAAGTATGAAGTAGAGTTGAGATAGTAGTGAGTTAAGTATGAAGTAGAGTTGAGATAGTAGTAAGTTAACTATGAAGTAGAGTTGAGATAGTAGTAAGTTAACTACAAAGTAGAGTTGAGATAGTAGTAAGTTAACTATAAAGTAGAGTTGAGATAGTAGTAAGTTAAGTATGAAGTAGAGTTGAGATAGTAGTAAGTTAACTATGAAGTAGAGTTGAGATAGTAGTAAGTTAACTATAAAGTAGAGTTGAGATAGTAGTAAGTTAAGTATGAAGTAGAGTTGAGATAGTAGTAAGTTAACTATGAAGTAGAGTTGAGATAGTAGTAAGTTAAGTATGACGTAGAGTTGAGATAGTAGTAAGTTAAGTATGAAGTAGAGTTGAGATAGTAGTAAGTTAAGTATGAAGTAGAGTTGAGATAGTAGTAAGTTAACTACAAGGTAGAGTTGAGATAGTTTAGAGTTTCTTAAGTGAGGGTCTAAGAGGTGTTCTTACTTCAGCTCCTCCTCCTCAATGAAGCCACTCTGGTCCTGGTCAATGACCAAGAAAGCTTTCTTGATGTCATCAGCGCTCTTGGCGGACAGGCCGACCTTAGCGAAGAATTCCTTGTGTTTGAAAGACTCAGCAGCTGTGAGGAGAAGATATGAGATCAGATGTTTTAGGAATTTCACACAGAAACTGAAGTGTGTTTTGTCCTGGTATCGTTTACAAGGTCTGGTGGTTTGTTTCTTCCCAAACCTCTGCTCTGACTGTCATTCAGCGTTTAAGAGGTTTTTCTGTACTGATACATGTTCAAATAAATGGTTTTATATGTTAAGAATTAATTGGGTAAAGTAATTCAATATTTTACTCAAGTACTTACCGCTATTTATGAGTGTTAAAAATCCTATATCTCAATGAAATGTCCTGCATTCGACTCTTACTTAAGTCAGGCACAACAATATTAGCATCAAAAAGCCCATTTCAGAGTAATATACAATATATAAAATTGGATTGTATACATTATATTAGATTGAATTGTGTATATTATTGCATGTTGCATCTGTAAAAGTCATTTCGCTGAGCATCTTAAGCTGTTATAATTCAGAAGGTGATTTATATGTTGTATCTATGATCGAAATCTGAGAGTAACTCAAGTCATCAAAAAGTGTAAAGGAGTAAAAAAATGCAGTTAATGTAGTAAAGTAGAAGTAGTAAGTGCTTCAGTAAAGTTGAAGCACTTTAAAAATGTACTTAGTTACATTTCAAAGCTGCAAAAATTGCTTTTAAAGTCCCATTTGCTGTAATCTGGTAGTGTGATTCTGTGTTAGAAATGGTATTCTGCTGCAGGAAAGTCCGCATTAAATGAGTAAGAATACTGAAATATGACGAGTTGCATGTTTTTGTGCATCTGTCCTGAACAATGCTCTGTGTCATTTTCATGTGGTTTACCTGTGCATGCTGCGAGGGCTGCAGTGATGTCAGCCTCCTTCAGGGTTCCTGCAAGTGCCATTTTTGTTTTTTACTGAGGGAGGAGAGCAGAGGACAAGTCATCAGTTGAGCTGCAGCGAATCAGACAGGGTTAAGCACTTTGAATCTTAGCATGTTAAGCCCCCTCACTTCTACATTACAGCGGTCAAAGTTAAAAAGTTACATGTAAACTTATTTAATGGCATGCAGTATATCTTTTCTTTGTTGCTTTCTGTGAGTATTCCTCTCTGGCAGCCCCAAAATGATCAGAAAAAGGTAGTCCAATTTTCTCAAAATCAAAGCCCTCCAAGGCAAAATATCCTTTGGCTGCAATAGATTTTTGTTTCTCCATTTGGTTCCTCAGTTAGTCCAAACTCTGAGCTTCTGATTCTGGCCCTTTCCTCGATTTTTAAATCCCATTGCTTGGAGTTGACGCCCCTGAAGCTCTCTTTGCTTTCAGGCAGTAGATTTTTAAAGGTTTGCAGCTCCTCTTTGAAACTCACCTTGGGGTTTATCTAGAGACTAGACTGGATTCGTTCAGTTGAATGAGATCACTGCAGTGAACCCTTCAGCCTCTCCTGCGAGCTTATATACCTTCACGCACCCGAAATATGATGCATAGGCTATGTAATTGACACTGTGTGCAAAGCAGTCAAAGCAGTCGGTCGAAAAAATGTGTCCAGTAGACAGAGCTGATCTATTTATATGCACATAAATGAAGATGCTTAAATGGTAGGCTAAGTGTATGCCTATGCAAAAGTGCTTGATATTGCATAGGGCTAAGAATATACGCTGCTGATTTGGGTGAAACGTACTCTGTGGCCATGTAGTTTTGATCCGTTTAACTGTGCAGAAGGCATCAGATATGTTTAAAAATGACACTATTTTCACTTTTTTATCAGTATTTTAAGACACTTCTCATTATTATTCAAAAGGCTTTTTATGAAACTCCAATGTGACTTTTACATTTACAAATTAAATGGTGTGTATGGCCCTTTAAATGGCAGTTTACTTCGCCATTTCAGCCAAAAAAGGCTTCTTAGTGGTTCCTTGATAAATAAAATGTAGTTATTTCTGATTATTTAGCGAATAAAAAATCACAAGTCATCCCATCATAATACCCTGGACAGTTTTGGTGAAAATGAGCCTGTGCGTAATTGGCATGCGTAAAATGTCTGCAATGGCTTCCCTGGCATGCCAGTGCCAGAACTGTCTGGTTGTTGTGATTCCTTGTCGCAGGCAAAGGTATATGTGGTGACATAGGGGGAAAAAAATGATATTTGTTTTTATTTGTTTTGGGTTTTTACGTTTTTTATGCAGATCCAAAGACTCTCTTTGCTCTGACGCGTTTGGCTGAACGTAATATATATGAAGCTGCAGGAAGTTACCGTGCACAGTTGAGCGTTTTAGTCACAATAAGGAGACTTTTGCAAAGTCTAATGAATGTTTTACTAGTGTAAACTCGGTATTTGCCAGAGGGTGTAAATGGAGACTCCAACAGGGGAGGGGCTGTGATTGGATAGCAGGTCATTGAATTTATTCGCACATATAATCATAATCTGCTCACATGCGGCTGAGCAGCAACAGCCAAGTTTTATTTTAGGAGCTCTTACAGCCATTCAGTCCATTTCTCATTATGGTGATGAAACTATTTGTGATGCTATTTTGGGAAACATCAAAAACTGATATCGTGGGCATCATCATCATCATCTCATCGCGTCAGTGTTAATACCACAGGGCGGTTGCATAATCACCACACAATTAAAATTGTGTGGTGATTATGCAAGTGTGCAGAGGGTCTTTCCATGCCCATATTTGATCTCATGACGGGTGCAGGCTGTTGTTTGTCTATTAAACATGAGGTGGCAGTGTTGAGATGTGACCACTTATAGAGATGATATTAAAATATGAGCAGATTTGAGTTTTTTTGTATCAAACCTGTACTATAAACGTTTAAACCAGGGGTGTCCAAACTACGGCCCGGGGGCCAAATGCGGCCCGCGGACCATTTTGAATCGGCCCTCAGCAAATTCTGAAAGTATAATGACTATGGCCCACAAATTAAACTTGTGCTTGTTGTACTTCTTAAATATATATGTAAACATTACACTGTATTCATGTGTTAATAAGCCCACTTTTAAAATAAATCCAGTCAATTAAAGTTGGAAACATTTCATAACAAATCTAACTTGATAAGAAAAACCCCAATAACTTATTTGTATAACAAGCGTAAAATATACCCTTCATATTTCCCCTAATAATAAGCGATCTGAGGCTCCTGTTTTAAGGAATGAGTTGCCAACATAATAAATGAAACCCTATGGAAAGCTGTGATGAAGGTTGTTTTGTTTCTTAAAGCATTTTCAAGTAACAAGCATAATTTACCTACATTAGATTGAGTTTGCTGACTTAAAACTTAACTTATGAGGCAAAATACCTCTAGAGAGTGGCCCAGCCCTTCGTATATTTTTCTGTATGTGGCCCTCGGTGAAAAAAGTTTGGACACCCCTGGTTTAAACTGATCTCTTTGAATGTGTATCCAACCTCCACTTCCTTCACACCAGTGGCTTCTGATGTGGGATTTCTCAGAAGCTTCTTACTGAAATACAGTTTTTATTTCAAATGTTCTTTAGGTTCAGCAGGGAAACTCTGAGGCCTTTAAAATCTGCTGTGGTCAAGTGAGGTCTCTCACCTCAACCGACTCTGCCACAGATACTGGAACTATTCCTGCCCTTCTTCAATATCAGGTTTAAATTACACATATCTCACAGCGGGGAAGAAACCCATCAAGCAGGGCAATGAAGCAGGTCTGTAATTTGAGACAGAGACTGTGAGAATGTACATTTGTGAGAAAAATATAAAGAAAAATAGAAATTGTGGAATATTTAGAACTCTTAATCTTACTCTCCCTTACACCGAGCATCTAGGAGTGCAGACGTTCATTGACAGAAGTCTAGCTAAAGATTGGCACTAAAAACCAGGTCACTGCAGGTCGAAGCTCTGCCAGACGCTTCCCATCGCAGAGCGTCTTTTCCAGCTGTGCCCCCACCACCACCACCTCCACCACGAGCTGCAGCTCACACCAAATAACCTTTCTGGTCAGTGGAGGTGGAGCCATACAGCTGAACCGTCCTGAGGCCATTTCCTCCAGAGAGTAAGAATCTTCTTACGTTTTTATCTGTTTCTGTTTCTAGGCTGCATTGAACTGATTGCTATATGTTTATGAGTTCATATATATAGTTTTGTATTGTATGTAACTTGTGAACTTGATTTTAAACAGTGCTAGATAAATAAAGTTTATTATTACTGAATAGCTTTCCTGGAAATGCAAAGTATCTTCAACAAAAGCACAAATGATGTTACTCTTTATCTGTACGTACTGTACGTGCAATTTTAAGGTACATGTAGTGTTTCCATTATACAATTAACTACAAATAATCATCTGTTTTTCAGCCCTGTAGTGTTAGAGAGTGGTCAAAACAACCTCCACCTCCTTCATCTTAAAGATACTTATATGTTAATGCATCAATGTAATCAATAATATATCACTGACATGAGCTTTTCAGCATGCTGGGCTTTTTGATTTTTTTACTTTTAAGAATGATTTGTTGCTAACACTTTGCAATTTTACTTATTTTAATTGCAGGACTTCAAATGTACATGCAGCGTTTTATATTGTTGTATTACTCCTTAGGTAAATAATAATGAATTGATGAAAACATTATGAATGAATAACATAAAATAGACAGATTGTGCCTTGAGCTTATACATTTTAAATAGTTTTACGGGTCATGATGAAGTCAGCATGATGTAAAGTCCAAATTGAACTGGATTTATGGTGGAGAACAATCACTAAGTTGCCATAGTTTATCTAAAATAAGTATTTCAAAGACAATAGGTGAAATGTTGCTGAAGTGTAGACACATAAGTCGCACCAAATGACCCCATCTATGGTGTCAAATTGAAGTTGCCGGAAGGACAAACACCTCATTTGCACAGAGGGAAATCGGCTCGTGCCGTTAATTGGAGAAACCAAAGCCTGCCTGGACAGACGTGACCCTGCAGAGCTCAATATAACATCACAACAACACAACAACAACAATACACACGAGCATGTGCATCTCGCCGCGTATGAGCAGGAAGAAACACTCTGCAACGCTTCACAGAGAAAAATTATATTTATTTGTTCACATTTCTGGCAGGGAAAGACACATAGCAGAAAGGCAACATTTAATTCATTTTCATTTCTTTATCGCATTACTTTCCGTTACAACTACAACACACACAGTCCCTGGATGACTCCTTATTGTTTACTCAAGATAACAATATTAAATAAAGAGAGCGCCCTGAGATTATCACCATGACACAAATCACAGGGGTGACGTATGATTTATGAGGACTTGACCAGCGCGGAAAACTCTGGAAAGAGAAGAAAGACAGAGTTTTAGACATTTCTTTATTCTGTTCTTTCACATTCAGTATGTATTACTTCTGATATTTCATTAAACTACAAAAATGTTAAACTGAATTGACACTGATTGTTATAACTGCACTTACGTTAATTTAGTAAAAAAGTGAAACAGCAGCAATAATTTGGCTTAAAACCTTCAGTTTTGATCTTTAATTATTATGTTTTTACATTATTTGTATATGCCTTGTGATTAATAAATGGTATTTGACAATCATTTGTTGATTTTTTACATTTTATTACATTACATGTTACTTGTTAGACGCTTTTATCCAAAGCGACTTACATACTCAATACTGTGGGCAATCCCCACTGGAGCAATTTGGGGTGAAGTGTCTTGCCCAGGGACACAACGACATGCTGACTGCAGTGGGGTTTGAACCTGTGACCCCCTGATCCGAACACATACGCACAACCCACTGCGCCACACATCTTTTATTGTTTGTTTCTTTCAGCATGTGTAGCTTTCTATTTGCATTGTGTGCAGGATGCAAATACACAACATGAAAATATAGAAAGTCACCTGATCACTTCAGATTGCTCTCCTACACTTTACTCTAGTACGTAGCTAGACACATGTATTCTTCACACAATCTGACCCTGGTCTCAGTCTCCTTTCAGCATTAAAGCAATTCATTTACCATGCAAACATTGATACTAATTAAAACAAATAGGAACCTATAGATCCTCATCTGCAGTTACACCTTCCTACCTTCCAAGCCGATCTTCCCGTCTCCATCGGAGTCGCCCTGCAGGAGGAAGCCTCTGGTCTCCGCCGCCGTCAGGGGCCTCGCTCCTTTGGAGAAGTTCTGCAGGAACAGTCTGCAAAAATACACCAAATACACAAAACACTAATGAGAACAAAGTCTCCAACCACATTAAATGTCATGCTTTTGCAGGAAACTACCTATAGTTGAATTGTAATAGAACAGGATTGTATGTTCTGTGTATTAAACTCACTGTAACTCATCCTGTTCTATGAAGCCGCTTTTGTCCTGGTCCAAAATCGTGAAGATTCTCTTGATCTCTGTTGGATTTTTCTTGGATAAACCCACCGTTTTTAAGAACATATTCGGGCTAAATGAGTCCTTTGCTGAAAGAAAAATCACACATGAAACTTGATTAGATCCAGACAGTTAACAAGAAGATGTACCAAACTGAAACTACAGTAAAATACAGAAACAAAGGCCTTACATCCTTTGACGAATAGCAAGACTCACTTATTTTTCAAACAATCACTATCCACTATCCTCACCTTTACAAGCATTGATGGCCAAAGCGATATCCGAGGCTGCGAGGAAGTCGGTGACGGCCATGATGATGGAGAATCTGTTGTGGTGTGCGTTGTAGTCGGGTGCAATATGTGACTGCAGAAGCCTCGAAAGACACTATGGGTGACAGTGAATAGGCTTCACCCCCCCTTGGTGTCAAAAAGCACCAGTGTCCTTCTGTCCGCTGTCACCTGCAGCTGACCACAGCCAACAGTGTGTGTGTGTGTGTGTGTGTGTGTGTGTGTGTGTGTGTGTGTGTGTGTGTGTGTGTGTGTGTGTGTGTGTGTGTGTGTGTGTGTGTGTGTGTTTTAGAGCGGTTTTTCCTTGGGAAAAAAGGGGGGAAAGTAAAAGATGGCACTATCCCTCTAATATTGTTGATTTTTACATCATGGAAAATACATATTCAAAGATTTCATGGGGCCAAGCATTGCCTGCATTCAGTGGACAGTTACTAAGTAAAGTACAATAAAGTACTTACCTATCTACCTATCTATCTACCTATCTATCTATTTATCTATCTATCTATCTATCTGTCTATCTATCTATCTATCTATCTATCTATCTATCTATCTATCTACCTATTTATCTATCTACCTATCCATCTATCTATCTATCTATCTATCTATCTATCTACTGTACCTACCTATCTATCTATCTATCTATCTATCTATCTATCTATCTATCTATCTATCTATCTACTGTACCTACCTATCTATCTATCTATCTATCTATCTATCTATCTATCTATCTACCTATTTATCTATCTACCTACCATCTTATCTATCTATCTATCTATCTATCTATATATCTATCTATCTATCTATATACTATCTCCCTATTATCTATCTACCTATCCTAGCTAATCTATCATCAGCTAATCTATCTACTGTACCTCCTATCTAGCTATCTATCTATCGATCTATCTATCTATCTATCTATCTATATCTATCTACTGTACCTACCTATCTATCTATCTATCTATCTATCTATCTATCTATCTACCTATTTATCTATCTACCTATCCATCTATCTATCTATCTATCTATCTATCTATCTATATATCTATCTATCTATCTATCTATCTACCTATTTATCTATCTACCTATCCATCTATCTATCTATCTATCTATCTATCTATCTATTTATCTATCTATCTATCTATCTATCTATCTGGTGTAGTGCGGTTGTCCTGATACGGCATGAATTTGACTATCTGTTTACAGCTCAGAAAGGGAAAGAACAACAAAAGAAATGTGGAATTAACTGATAAAGGTTTCGCTGTCGGCTCGGGGTCTTCCCTGGCAGTGTTTCTGTAAACATCCTGTTATTACGGACTCTGTCACTTTCAGGCTGTGACTCCACTCACAGTCCCCTTGTTCCCACACGATGTTACATTTAGCATATGAAGAGCTCAAATGAGTGGGTGTTTATTTAAAACGAGTCTAAACGTGTGACAAGAATTGTGATGACAGTCTCCCCCAACACACCGTGGAGTTAGTAGTATTAGAGTTTCAATCTTCCTAAATTATTATTTATTACCAGCTGGGACAGTGTTGCTTGTTTTAGGGGTTGGATTTATTTGTATGTGATCCTTGGGGAGCACCAAAGATGGACATTCAGTTTTACCTCAACATTTCCTCATCCCTTAACAGCAAAATCGTTTTTTTTGACATGACTCCGTACAACCGTACAGGCAACCAGTTTTAAATAAGTGGTTAACTTTGTGAGTTGAAACAAAACGTTGTGCACAGGCTTTGTTTTCAGTGGGGGGGATTAGGATATTTAGGGTTAAAGTCACGTGTCACCCTGCTGGACACCTGTATAAACAAATTACAAGGTTTTGCATTGCAACTATATAGGGTTAGGGTTAGGAGACAGGGTTAGGGTTAGGAGACAGAATCTACGAGTAGCTTTCATATTTTTATTTTGCAATTTATAAGGCCAGGAGAATGTCTGGAAAACCACCTTCTAAGGAATTCCCAAGCTTACAGGAAATGGAGTGTGGTTAGCTGGCAACGTTTGAGACTTTTGTTCTGGTGTAACACAAACCCTCTTCCAAAAGATCTCTCTCCACCACATTTACTCCTTTTGTGTAACAGAAAGGCACTGGAAGTGACTTTGTTTCCGCTTTTCCTGCTTGTTGTAATGCCTTTACAATTTGAAAAGTTGTTTTCCACAGTTTTAATCCACACATGTCTTTATAGCTCCCATGTGTGAGCGGCTACTGCGTCACACTCCGGCCTGAACGGGCAGCACGTGTGTGCCCGAGGCCTGGAGAGAGTGACGTGAGCCTGGCTTCCTCAGGATGGACGACAGAGAGGCCTGCAGCAACCAGAGGGCCAGAGGAACGACAAAAACATCCTCCTCTGCTCCCCCTTCACCAACCGACCCCCCTCAGCCTTGTCCCTTTCCACGCTCTGATGCTTGTTTTCAGGAAGAGCAGGCTTCCTGTGTGATGGAGCGCTGGATGAGAGGAGGAAGAGGGGGATGGGACGAGAGGAAGAGACAGACACTGGGAGATGGATAGGGATGGGGGTGATGGTCCCGTTTGGGGGAGTTTGTTGCATTGGTTGTTTTTCTTGAAAGGCAGCTGTGCGTAGAATAGTGAACAGGGAGGATTAACGAACAAACCCTTTTTGGTCTTGCTTCAAGTATTGTAATATGTAAGGAAAGCGGCCCGATATTTGAGAGAAAAACTTACATTACATCAAATGTAATATATAGAGACCATGCAGGAAGTTGGACCTTTCATTTTGTACTTTTGCACGCCTGTACTTTAACTGTTTATTTGTTCCATTAATGTTGGAAGATAGTAAGCAATGGGTCAATCTTCAAAGGACATGGAAACCAGCAGATGTATGTATGGACTTGATGGTAAGTTGCATTTTACACAAACAAAAGGAAAAGTATTGAATTGTACAAGTCTGCATGTCTAGATCCAAAGCTAATATTTTGAGTATCTTTGTTAGATCTTTGTTGTCTGATATTATTTTCTTGGATATTTCTCTGTGAACCTTTTCGTTATTTGATTTGATTTGATATTTTGTTTATTTGATAATGTGGTTGCTGTTGTTGTAACATATACACATCTATACGCCTTTGGGTTGTGGGAAAGGTCTTAACACCAATTATTCAATTATTGTGAGCTATTCATAAGACAACTAATCTTTTCTTTGAGACCTTCTCTGTGTGGAAAGAATAAATATGAAAGGTGTTTCGAGCAACGTGTGTCAGATTTCAGTTGAATGATAATATCATCAGGTTAGACTTGATGTCCCGCTGCATGCTAAAACTAAATCCCGGTCCCTCTCTAATGTCTGAAGCGACAGACACAGAGACAGACAGAGAGACACGTTGATCCAGACATGCATCCCCGAGGAAAGTGGCTGCTCCTCCTTTTTCCCGGGCTCAGTTACTGCCTCTTCTATTTCCATCTGACCAGCTGTGGTGCGGGCATGCCAGTGACGCTCTCAATTTCAGCCAAGACGTCCCTCCAACACACACTTTAAGCTCCACCCTGCACTCTCGCATACACATTTATCTTACTCATTTGTTTTGGCGCCAATCTTTCAATAGGACTGGTTTTCTGAGTCTGTGGCAATCTTTGTCTGTACATGCATTTGTTTACCTGTAAGTCAGTGCATGTGTGATTATGTGGGCCTATGCATGTATCTGCAGTGTGCATGGTGTTGCATTTTCAGTTTATTAAATAAAGGACATCAAACTGCCCATAGCCCTGCAATGAAACAACACAGTCTCACGGCATTTCGTGTTATAGTCACGAAATTAATCTATTGATTCGTGTTCACCAACACGATTTTCACATTTTTTTCGTGTCACAAAGAACGATTTTAAAAGCAATGTAAATAATAACAAATTTGAAGGAAAAAGAGATTTAAAAAAAATACAGATTTCAGTATTCTGACACAGAACGATTTTAGAAGCAATGCATTTCTATTGGTAGTATGTTTCGTGCCTGCACCAAATAATAACAAATTAGAAGGAATTTCTTTTTTTTTTAAATACAGATTTCAGTATTCTGAGGCTCTGAGCCATTTCTTTTCCTCACTGACAGCAACAAAACTCAGAGATTATACAATTTAAAATAAAAGGCTTAGGGTTAGGCTTAGGGTAAGATATTGAGTAAGAAAATGTTTTTATGAACCACACAGCTTCTGGTCTTCCAAGACCCGACCGGACAAAAAGACGTGTTGCAGGCACGAAACATACTACCAATAGAAATACATTGCTTTTAAAATCATTCTGTGTGACACGAAAAAAATGCAAAAATCGTGTTGGTGAACACGAATCAATAGATTACATTAATTTCGTGACTATAACACGAAATGCCGTGAGACTGGGTTGAATGAAAAGCACACACTGAGTCAGATTTGGAGGTTTCCCCCTCATATAAGCTACTAGACATTATGTGTAAATATTACTTAAAGTTGACCTATCATGGTATATTTAAATGATATATTGTAGGGCCATACCTATATAAGGTATATTTATACGTTTCTGTTTTCAAAATACCAAACAGATCATGCATTTTAGCCATGCCTCATTTCGCTCAATTTGCACTTTTTTTTAGCTCTGCTCTGCAAGGGCAGATTCAGTGAGAACAGCACCATCTACTGGCCTGGCATATGTACTACAGCGTCTCCAGCGCTTTCGAACGGCAATGGCCGTGGCTGTCTCCTCCTGATTGGTGGAGTTGGCCCAATAGCCGTAGCGCCACTGTCCTGACGTCAGGACAGTGTTCAAATCTGGATCAGTTTTGATCAGATCCGTTGCAGCCCCTTTTTTAGAGATTTGGGTATGGAGGAAAATAGAGAGGGTTGTGTTTTCTGACACTTGGTGAGTTCCCTGGAACACCGGGGACACATATTCATGTATAAAAGACGTACAAAAGTGCATTTTGCATGATAGGTCCCCTTTAATGTTCCTGCGTTAAACAACATGTATAAGTTTAAAGCAAGAGTACGCTTTTTGAGGAATTATTTGTTTTGACAGTTATATAATATCACGTTTCTATTTCAATATAATCTTTAACAAATACCAACCAGTCCCCCTCCAAATCATATATGATCTGAACTACATACTGTAGCTATAGTATCTGGGAACATCGTCCCATCAAAATTAAGTGGTAGCTAAATATAAACGCA